AGTATATATATATATATATATATATATATATATATATGCGTGTGGTGTGTGTGTGTGTGTGTGTGTGTGTATTCTTTATTATACACAAAAACATTCCTTAATGGCTATTCATTTTACAAAATAGACTGTGCGTTCTAATATTATTACCTAAATTGTTCTTAATAAATTTATAAAATAAAGCTCAGATTTCATGTAGAAATTAAAATGTTAATATGAAGGCGTGCATTATCTCTTTATAAAGATACTGTGAATCTCTTTCCTTTATCCGGAAAATGGCTTTTCTTGTTCAACTTTGCATATATACATTGTAATCATTTATAATGCCATACATTTTTTATAATGACAATTCACATCATCAGTTTTTAAGAACACCGATACGTTGTAAGAACACCATAGTAAGAACGTTATTCTCACGTTTGGAAGATATTTTTTCTTTATCAATTTCTTATCATTATGTGCGTGCATCTTAAATAAATTACGACGATAATAATTATATTTTCGCATAATTTTATAATGGACTATAAATGTTTAATTAGAATCTATTATAAAATTATACTTTTCATATTATAGATATGAAATATATTCTTCTGTTTTCTGTCTGCTGCACATTATAATGCGAAAGATTGTCAATATTGCGACATTATTACCGTCCGTAATTGAATTTTTTTTTCAGCATAAAAAATAGTGCAAGCTCTAAAATTGGTAAGATTATAAGAAAAAAATGTTAAAATGTTTGATATTCTTATCATATATAATATTTACTTTTATAATATTTTAATTATACAGAAATTGTGATTGAAAATTAAAGTCATTGCCTGTATTTGTTGTTGCTACCAACAAACTTGAGAGAATAAAAGCTACAATTATAGATAATTAGTATGTACGACAAAAGGGAAAAGAAGCAAAGAAAAATGTCAAAATTATGAGCAATAAAATTTAGAAGGCACATAAGTGATATAAGTATACATAAGCAGTGAAAATGATATAAAAAAGTTTCACTGCCTAGCAAAATTGTCTATAGTACGAATAATAGTAAAGATGAGAACAAATACATTTGAATATCAAAACATTTTTCATAATTCAGAACGTTTTAACACACAATTTCTTAATCTATAAAATCTTTTAACATATATTCACACAATATTCTTGTGATATATCTGTTGATAATATATTGTAGCACTTAACTTTCTCTTTAAATGAGATCAATTTTATAATATAATCATCATGCATTTTACAAATTAATTCAAATCTTATATTCAAATAATAAATATGAAAAATAAATTTCCGATATGTAACATATGTGAAAATAATATTTGAAGTTTATACTTAAACGAAGAAGTTTTTTTTCTGATATTATGTACAATGCATATTATAACAAATCTTTTGCGGCTTTGAATATCGTTTTTTGCAAACATGGTCTTAGTGAGAATTAAAATTTTTCAATATATGATATACATATATGTATGACATATATTTTTCAATACATGACATTAATTTTTTAACGTATAATACATATGTATGGCATATTTTTAACATATGTTATACATAATGTATAATAACATATATTATCTTTTATACACAAATAGAGGATTAAAAATTAGCCTCTTTGGTATAAAAGATAAACTCACTAAGAATGTTATTAAATGTAGATTTATTTCAAAATAAATATTAGATAATCTTTTATATGATTCACATACATACAATTTGATGATGATGTAATTAAATTTAGATTTAATTTCATGCTCTTGAATAAAAAAACAAAAAGAAAAGAATAGATAAATTTCATTAACTTTCCATACTATTATCGATTGTTATCATTAAGCCTGCAATTATTCTTTTCTCGTTTTGTATTTGAAATTATACTCATTTGTTATTTAGCAACTTGCCCAGGCCCAGTGGATGTTTTTCCCTTTTGAGATGATTCTGCCATATCATTTGATTGATCAATATCCATCTAAAAATTTGAATTTGATTGGAATTAGTAATTTAAATCAATAATATTCAATTTAAACAAAAGATTAAAATATAAAAAATTTAAAAATTTGATCAAAACTTTTGATTAATATAGAATTAATTTGTTTAGTATATAATTAAATTTGATAGATAATAATAATTATTTTATTTTGCTAAATAGCATAATTTTCTCTTTTAATACTTTTATTACTTTTAATATTTTTAATACTTTTAATACTTTTCTCTTTTATTACGAATAATACTTTTACTAAGAAAAAATAAATTTTGCATTAATCAAAGTAATATTCCTGAATTTGTCGATGCATTTTTTTTTAATATTATGTAACAAAGATATATGACATAAAACTTATATTCGTTACACAGTAATGTGTACAATATATCATATTCAATACCTTTTCTTCTTTTTCATCATCGATAAGAATGGGACCATTTTCAGCTTCAAATTCCTTTAAAACTGCATCCAAATTATATCTTCGTCGATAGTTCACGAAAAATGATCGCAAATGAGCTTCGGTCTTGGTTCCGATAACTTCAGCGATTGCAGCGAAATCTTTTCCATATTTTCTAATGCCTTGAACGGCTAACAACAATTCATCATTTGTCCAGCGAGCATTTATACGACTTGATACCTCTGGCGGTCGTAGATGATCGATACCATCAGTTGTTTTTCGCTTTAGTGCGCTTACTTGTTGTTTGTTAGCTTGTATCTGTGATTGTGAATAAATTATGTAACATTACAAACAAGTTATGTATAAATACGTAAATTGTATAATTAATATTTTAATTTAAGAGATAATATGCAAATATAGATCATGAAAGTATTGGAGTGTCTGCAATCTGTTATTCAGAAATTTTATTCTACTTTATATTTTTTCGAAAACTCATTTCGAACACATTAAAACAACACATTATCTAACTATATTTTCAGGATATATTAATAGTTTCAAATGTGCAAGCGTTTGCATATGCTTTTATGACTCATTATAACTATATAAAAAAATAAAGAAAAATGTATCCACACGTCGTGTTGCCTTTCTTTTCTGCTTATTAACATACTTGACGTTTTAAGCTAACGATCTCAGTATCGATAGCTTGCAAACTGTTGTTGGCTTGATTTGGTTGACCAGCCAAAGCCGCCAAATCATCATGATTCACAACCAAACCCCGGGGTGGTTTTCTTTTATTCGTACGACCCGGCATGGAAGTTAACGGTCTTGCTACACCGGTGCGCCTAAACCATCAGAAAACGTAGAGAGATTTTAAGGACATGGACATTAGACTAATCACTGTATTTTAATATTACTAAAACTAACTATCATTAATAAGGGATAATTTCAAACAATATGCGAGATACATGTAAGCAAGTTTCCAAGGATATTCATAAGTTTTAATTGCTTAAGTAAGGTTAAATATATGTGTTTATCTTTATAAAAAAAGAGTATCATTAAATAAATATTATTAATTAAAAGTAGAATCATCGAAACGATTCTAATTTATTTCTCATATGAATATCCTTTTTCCGACGCTTATTGAATTGTATAAAATAAGATTTATTTATTTGCTATTATTGGCATTGGCATTTGATTTACGTTACGTTCACTGACCTCCAATGTAGATAGCAGCTATGACACGCGTGTCCTTTGGGCGTCGCACGAACACTATGGCATGCAACGCCACAGTTGCTACACGAGCCCTACAACACATAACACCCTTTTAAGACAAAAATTTTGATAACCCCCCCACCCATTCCCACTTTATAATTTATCATTATTTGTCATCTTTGAACACTAAGAGCAAATTAGAAGAAAAATCACTAAAGTGATGTCTGTCCTGTTCTCTACAATATCAAACCTATTTTTGTATTTCTTATAATTCGCTCGACTTATAATAATTCACAGCGAAATTGATATCAAAGCAATTCCAGCTGAATACTCGATTCGATATTTCGAATTTTTCTGCTTCATTTCCTCAGTAAGGTTTCAGCCTATCAATTTCACGATCAACACCATAAGAAATTTTGACAAGAGAAGAGAAGAGAACATATACATATATATGCCAGTGTAGCAATAATATACGTGATACAATGAAAATAGCAAAATAGTAGTAAAGCTAAGCTAACTATACTAGGTATGCGAGTGGGTAAGGTTTAGGCTGAGTACCTGAACCTGAGGGGCGTTTTCCGAGTCGGATGGGGCCTTAGCGTCAGTGCCTTGGCTTCCTGGCACAGCTTGGTTCTTTCCACGACGTATTCCGCGGTGGATCGTCCATTTCTGGAACGTTCCACATTTACGTTCACATACTGACGTAATGTCCAACTAAACTATTGCTTATATTTTACATTTAGATAGATCGAATAGAATATCATGTAAAAGAATATCATAAAATTTGGAAATTTATCATTTAGAAATTTTATGCCCTATGTATACATTTAGAAGATATTTATTATAACGATTTATTAGCTTTTTGCCACTATTCGCAAGATATAGCAAAATAGCATCTTCTTCCTATTTATTATATACAATGTATTATCGTGTGGATACATTTTTTCATTACGTATATAGCAAGTTTTTAAACAGTTATCTTCATATTATCAATTTGTGCCATGATAGCATAACATTTGTAATATAATCAGGTTGAAACACAGCCAGAGCAGTAAGCTTATACACGAAGAGATATATCTATTACAGAATGGAAAGGGAGAAAGGAGATATTAACATATACATATATTAGATATTATGGAAAATTCCGTACGAAAAACGGATAGGATCATTGCCTACTATAATTACATTTAACATTTAAATTATTGTTTTAGGATTTCCACTTTAGATTAACCCGTGTGTTAAAGTATTAATAAAAAAGGAGAAAAAAGGATATATTTATATAAGAACGAAGAGCATGCATAAAAATTTATTATTTAAATTATCTTCAAAAAATTCTTACTTTTTCTTCGGATTCGCTATCTGTGTTGGAACCGAGTTCACTTCCATTTTCGCTGCCATTCTCGCCTTCTTTGCAACCGCTCGTCAATTTACGTGCTTGCCTGTCCATCAATGATGTCCTAGTTCGCGTTTTCTTCCAGCTATAGTAGTATTTCACGAGGCTCGCAATAGATTTGTCAGGTAGCTATACAAAAATCATTACAAATAAATCCCTTAATAATCAAGATATATATATATTTATACCTCTTTTTTTCTAACTTATCTTTATTATATAATTTAATATTAAAATTTTAATTTATGCAAGTTACATGCATACAAATTTGAAAATATTAAATATTTAAATATGAAAAATATTTATATACGACTACTTTAAAGTTATTTAATGTTATATTACAGTAATATTAGAAATATTCTGACCGAATGTATTAGATTTTAAAATTTCAACATTTCTTCAAATATATTATAAAATTATATTATAAAGATATCCTGTAATTTTTAAAATATAATTAAGTATGAGTTATAATGAATTATACAACTCATATGTTTCAAACTAATTCATACATTTTACTCTATTTTTTTTATAATATAGTTCTGTTTATTTTATATATATAAAATAAATAGAATTAAATGATTTTAATAATTTAAATATCATAAAATATATTACAACATACCATTTGCCGAATTCGGTGGAAACTCTTTCCATGAAATTGGAATGCCTGTTCAAACAATACTTTATCTTCAACCGTCCATTCATCAGGAAATGGAGTAAAATTCGCCAGGTCCAAGACCGCACGTTCTAAATTATGTTTATGCCAAAATAGCATTCCCAATGCCTGTTCTCCATTATAACCGTATTTTTCTTTAGCCAGTATAATATATTCGTCCACTGAGAAAATAAAATGCATTAATAACCATCAATATCTGTTAAATGAATTGGTTTATATAAATTTGCTATGCTTACGTTTCTGATCTGGTATATCAGTAGTAGGTGACCAAACTAATAAGGCCCTATCAGGACACTGATCCAATCGACGTTCTGAAATATATATTAGATTGAGTATTACTATATATCTAAATATCAGTAATAACATAAATATAGCTAATATTTTCAAAATTATAAAAATTATAAAGTACCGTTAACAGGAACAAATTCTGGGACAACGACCTGATAATCTCGTCCAACTCTTATCTTTTCTGCTGGAACTTGAAAAAGGAAATAATTAATATTTCTACTAAATTAATTGTACTAAGTTGAATGATAATTAATAAGTCAAAGAGAAGATAAATTTATTATATACTTTAATGCTAATCAAAAGACTTTAACAATAAATCACTATATTTATACATTTTAACTGAATATTACTAATTTTTTATATACATATTAAAAAAAATAGCATAAATTTGATTTCTTATTATTGCGGCTACTAACAAATCAATATTTTTTGTAAGAAACATTTATATAAAGAAATAATATTCACGCGATTCACAGAATATTTGCAATTATAAAAGCAGTTACAAAAGGCGGGGAGCGCGCTGTTTGAAGAATTTCTTTGATTTTTATGTTCGAGCATGACGAAACCGTTTGCTAGTTTTTGATTTAAAAACCTTGCGCAATCTTCAAACATCTGTCATGTGGAATATAAACGTTTCCGTAATCAAAATCTGTGAAATCGAAATATTGCGGATCAATGGTAATGACGAGACGAGAATCGATGGTACCTCCTTCCTCCTCGCTGGATGATTCGGTCTGTGCGTTAGGGCTGGGGCCTCGTGACCTACGGCCGTTTCGTACATTTTCGGAATTTCTCTCCGCTAGAACCATCGCGGTGTACGTTCGCTCGTCGATCAGGATTCGTGGTTCGCCAAATCGCACAGATTCACCTGGTGCCGCTGCGGCAGGACTCAGAAATGCAGGATGACAGAGAGTCACCCGCAGACGTGCCGACCCAGAACCCAACGGCTTCTGCTTACGATTCTCCTTGAGACTGCATGGTGTGGAGCCCGATCGAGATTCTACAGCTGTCGTTCCGTGCGATCGTAGCGAAAGTAAAATGGCCGTCTAGCACGCGCGACCCTATTGGCTGGCGCCGACGCGCTTGGGAGAAAAAATGGCTCGGCCAATTTCTTGAAGTAACGAGCCGCGATTTTGCAGAGGATAAATGTTGAGAAAAGCTGCTGTTTGCTTGCGTTTACCGGTTATGCCTTTTCCCCAAAAATCTACTCAATTCTTTTAAATTCAAAATCAGTACGCGAGCGAAATCGACACCATATCTCGAAAACGATTCGACTGTAGGTATACATATAAAAGATAATCTTCAAACCAATCTTTAGGTACTGTTACTATCATTGAATGTACATTGAGCAAATGAGCGACTAACGGATGGCGAATTTAAGTCTGAAATTCGAAAGATGGCGATGGATATTTTTCAGAAATGAAATAAATGCGAATTTATTCAGCGTAGTTTAAATATGTGTTAAGATTACTATAATAAAACAACGAATGTGATAATATCAAATATAGCATATTTGTAATAATAAAATATTATTATGAATATAACAATATGTTTGAATAATTTTTATTATTAAATGAAAATCTCATGTGCGTTTAATTTATAATTTTGTGTTACTAATTATATATTTTGATTCATAATATGTGTGTTTATGTAAAATTATATAATTTTGTT